AAACATCCCTGGAGTGCTTTTTATTCTATCACAAGCTGCAACTATTCTTTCTCTTAATTCCTCTACAGTGTTAATGGGACTTGTATACACTAGTGTCTTAAGATAGCCCCACAAAAAGAAATCTAAACTGTTGAGGTCTGGGGACCTTGGTGGCCATTCTTGGGGCCCACGGCGGCCAATCCAACGATTTGGATAAACAGTTTGTAAATAACTACGAACCGCTACACTGAATTGCGCTAGTGCACCATCATGCATGTACCACATTTTGTTTCTTATTACTAACGGAACATCACCAAGTAGCAAAGGCAACTGTTGTTGAAGAAAATTGAGGTAAGTCTGTCCGTGAAGTCGTCCCGGCAAGAAGAATGGGCCCATAAAGTGGTTGCCAATAATTCCTGCCCATATGTTAACTGAAAATTGGTGTTGGAAATGGGTTTCGATTACGGCATAGGGATTTTCTTCTGCCCACAAATGATTATTGTGGAAATTCTGAATGGTATTTCGAGAAAAATTAGCTTCGTGCGTGAACAGAATCATTGATTCAAATTGCGGATTTTGCGTAATTTTTTGAAGATACCACTGACAAAAGGTCACACGCCTTGAAAACTCAATGGGAAGTAATACCTGTACTCTTAAACTATAGTAAGGATATAACAAAAAATCCACTAAAATTCTCCAAACAATTTGATGGCAAACATTTAAGTGTCTAGCGATCTTCCTCGTACTCGTTTCAGGATGTTATTCGACTCCGTGCAGCACTGCTTCCTCAATTTCAGGTGTTCTCTCACTTAGAGGTCTACCTTCAGATGTTCCTTTTCCGACAGAACCAGTTTCAACAAGACGACCATGAATATTAGAAAAGGTTCTACTATCTGGCAAAGCACGATCGGGATATCTCTGGTGATAAATCCGTCTGGCTTGCTCACCATTACCGTCGGCAAGACTAATTCATTTCCGCCATTTCTGCATTTGAATAGTTCACCATTATTAACAAGATTGTAAAAACTAAATAATGAAAAAATGTCACAGCGAACAGATTTGAATAACGAGACTTGTCAGATGTCAAAAGCAACTAGATATTTATTGCTAAATTGCATTCTTCAATAATTATTACATTAATTTTCTCCGACATTAGAACGGTTATTATTTTTTTACTCAAAAATGGCGCATCGAAGGAAAGCAACTCAAGAGAGATCATTTGTTTTAAAATGAACGGGGAATTCAAGTGTAATTTTTATTTGGCAAAAAATCATTGGTATACTATATTTTTCTTAAAAATATCGAAGTACGCACGCCACTGTTAAAGCTAAAATTATTTTTGCATTGAAAAATATGCAACTTTATTAACTTTCACTACGTACTTGATATCAGTGAAATATCTAAAGCGGTTCTGATAGTATTAATTAATTTCCATTTTTTCCTAAAGCTTCAACACCCCGAGTTTTTGGAAGGAAACATTTTTGGAGCATAATTTATAAAGCAAACTAAGGGCCGGTTTCATAATCAAAATTAATTCTCCAGTTAAATTTAATCGAGATTTTAACGATTGAATGGATTTCATAATCTCTAATCAGCCAGTTAAAGTTTTCTAATTGGCCGTTAAGTTAACTGCTCGATTTCGGCATGTTAAGCGGTTAATTGGGGAATTAAATGTTTAACATAACCTTTCTTTCTTTGTTGTGTCGTTTGGATGCTATTTGTTGAACTGCAGATTGAAGCGATATTTTATACAAACCGACATTACTTTGAACAATATGGTAAGTATTTACAGTACAAAAAAATCCTTGGAAATATTTATTTTCATGTACGTGTTTATATCCTATATGAATCTATGGCAAAGTAGCAGCAGCAGCTCTTCATCTGATGAGGACATATCTACTATTCGTAAAACGAAAGTGTATAGGAAAAGAGAAAATTATTTCACGAAGTTTGATCTTTTATGTCCATATCTGATGACAAAACTTCAAGATATTAATGTGGAGGCAGAAAATTTATATAATGAATCAATAATTAGGACACGGAATGTGGTAGAGAGGCAATATGGTGTTTGGAAAAGACGATTTTGTATCTTAAAATTATTTATGAGACTTGATCTACATACAATCATGGCAATAATTCTCGCCACAGCGGTCCTACATAATATTGCTATATAAGAGAATGAAGCAATACCTGAAGAGTGGATCGATCATTCTGAAGATGAGGAAATAAATGAACAGGGTGATGTTAGATATGACAATCTCTCAAGCCAGGTTGTTAGAAGATGTTAATAAATGAATACTTCGCCAATTTATAACAAATCTATATTCAATACAGCTAATTGTTAAGCATTCTTCGTTTTATTTCTAATTCTAAAAGTTCAAGTTTTTTTCTATGTAGTTCCCCTTCCCACTCGTGTTTCTCTGCATCCCTCTTTCTCTTGATATGAATGTCTTGTTGTTCTAGTCTGCTTCTTTTAATTTCTTCTTCTGCGAGCATAATTTTTTTTCATAAAATAAATTTTTGCTAGTAGAATTCGTCTGTCTACGTATAAGTCTTTTTGACATGGGCGTCTTCAACTTCTTTGATGTGTAATTTCTCCAGCTCTAAAAAAGTATGAAATAAGACTATGTAAAAAGCAGGACTTGATCATAAGCAAAATATACTATAATATACAAGTGGTCAGTGTTATTCTATGCTTTAATTTAATCCTAGTCTTACAATGCATGAAATAATTTGAAAAACTAAAACCTCTCACAAGTGATATTTACTTACAATACAGACCCTACGCACGAGCAGCAGTTCCTCCTCCTTGGTGAAATTGCTTCCGCGTGCTCGTTTGCCTTTGTTTAAATCCATGTTGGTAGATATATTCGTAAAACACAATAGATAACGCTAGTAAACCGCAAATACACAATCGGTGAAAATATCTGACAATATTGCAGGTTAGGTTAGGTGGCAGCACCCTGAGGTCAGGCATAAAGCGAAAAGTTTTTCTGTGTTTCATGATTGACAAGCCCGATTTGTTCAGGTAAAATTTATTTCAGGGGTACCAACCACAGTTAATCCTTTGTTACTAAATTGACGTTTTGAAAGACATTATGAAATGCCCCGGAATTAAAGAGGCCTTAATTGGAGAATTAACTTAACAGCCCAATTATCTAACAGGCCATTTAGTGAGCGATTATGAAACCGGCCCTAACATTAATTTTTCTTCTTATTCATAAATATGACAAATCAATGTTTCTTATAGAGAGTTTGGACATGTTTAATGTTACACAAGCTGTTCAAAATGTCCTCCATTATTGGTTATGCACATTGTTGTTCTTAAAACAATGTGTCGTGTTGAGCGGCAGACCATATCCGTGTCAGCTCTAATTTCGTTCCCAGTGGTATGGATCCATTTCTAGAGGGGTGAGGTAGGACATTATAGGGGGTGAATTTGTCAATAAAAATAGCTGTAAAGTATCCCCCTTAAATATCGATATGTCGTGACCAAACACATTGTAAATATACATATATATAGGGTGGCCCATCCATGTGTGGACGGAATATTACTCATAAACAAATACATTTTGGAAAAATCTATTTATGGGATGTTATGCATGACATTTGAGGGCACATTTCTAAAATATTGGTCATTATACTCTCAATTTCGACCTAAATGTAAAAGTTGTGATTTTTCAAATGGAATGCCTCAAATTTTATTACATATTTAGATAAACTAAGTCAAAAGAAGGGAATCGATTTAACATACTATGCGGTTTTGGTCATTAGCTACTGACATATAAGGTGTTCTGCCTAGAAAAATCCCCCACTTCGGCAACCCCCCTGTCCACCATTTTGAAATTTAGACTGCTGAATTTTGTATCAACAAAACTTACACGCCTCAGCTTTTATCTTTTTGTTACTTTTTCGAATTTTAATTTTTGCCCATACAGGGTGGTCAATAACGCAAATTGTAGTTTTTCTCAAAAATTTCAAATGCATCGCCCTATATATTTCTGCAAATTTAGATTCAAATTTTTATAGGCTTTTTTTATACCAGACACATAAGGGTTTTTTACGGCTATTTTTTCGGTTATTAGCACGTCTTTTATAGAACGGCTTAATTGCCTAAAGTATCGCATCATTCTTGGAAACAAATAAATTGTTGATCAGTTACAAACTGTCAAAATTAGCTTTGCGAGCGTTATAATAAAAACGTGTTTGAACATGAATTGTTGTTGGGTAACTCCGACAAAGTTTAAGCAAGGGGGGCTCTTTATACTTTTTTAATCTCTCTAGTTTTCAATGGTCTTTGCCATCATCATCAGGAGAGTAGTATGTGAGGATGTTGCTAAGTGTTATTTACGTTGAAGATGAGGGAAACACCCAGTAAACTGGTGAGAGCCGGATACATGGTACATTAGTCAAAATTATACAAACTACACACAGCTGTATGCCAAGAACAAATTAAAACAGATTAAAAATATTCAAAACGAAAGGTAAAACTTTACATCATAAACCAATTGATGATTGCACCTTCAAGTGGTTCAAGTGGTTCATGATGTAATGTTTTGTTCTTGGCCTACAGCTGTGTGTAGTTTGTATAATTTTGACTAATATACTATGTATCCGACTTTCACCAGGTCACTGGGTGTTTCCCTCATCTTCAACGTGAATAACATTTAGCAACATCCTCATATACTACTCTCCTGATGATGATGGCAAAGACCATTGAAAGCTAGAGAGATTAAAAAAGTATAAAGAGCCCTCCTTGCTTAAATTTTGTCGAAGTACCCAACAAAAGGCGGAAGCTTTAGTTTTCACCTAACTTTTATAGATTTAATGAATCCATCGCATTTTGGGCTCTTGTTAACTTTTTCGAAAAGTTTAGTTGTTTACTATAGGAAGGAACCAGGGAGGGAAGAGGGAACAGAGGATCCAAGAGCAGATGTTGGGATCTGTCTAAGCGTGGAGGGGGAGTCGCAGTGGCGGTCACAGCATTCATGTTTAGTATGTTCGTCGCCCGGAGAATTTACCATCTGGGATGGATGGCAGACTTGGGGGTCTATGAAGGGCAGAACGCCCCCTCTAAGTACGCCATTGACAGTATTGTTTGTAGTAAGAAATATATTGAAAAAATCGTCTTCACTATCTTCGTCACTACTATCGATGTCAATATCGCCTTCTCCGTCAGTTTCTGTAATAATTTGACTGAGCTAGTGCAATTCTGAATAATATTTTATGAATAATAATTAAACGTGATAATTAGATACCTGTTAAGGTTTTTATAGAATTAGTAAAATAATTTGGTAGCTGAGCCCCTTCAAACTAATAAAACTGGTATTTGTCATATTTCATATGCCGTAGTTGACAGACCATTGACCATTTTTTGACAAACCGGATCAACTGTATCAATAGTATAAACAACAGTCAACACAGTCATAGATCACAGAAGACCAGGCTCACTATTTCTACAATATCACTTGAATATATACCGCCTCGCGGTCGCAGCTACGGCAGACTTGTAATGTGTCAGGCTTAACGATTAAAGCTGCCTGTTACTGGGGTAACATCTTTTGATAGTCCCCCAAGTAACATATGAACTTCAGCTTTTATAGGATGACGAAAGTTTAACTCCAAAATTTATTAAAGTTTCATGGGTATCTGGCAGGGTTTGAAAGTGTACTAAGTGCCTTGCAATGGATGAGGTCATTTCTAATACCGTTCTGAAAGAAATATAAAAAATTAGGCTCGTTACTTCCACGAATTTGCGGTACTATTTTAGACATCTTTGCTATCTTTTGCCTGCCAAAATAACCACCATCCAAATTTTGTAGTCGCTGATTACAGTCTCCGATTTCACAAATCATCTGCTTCTATAAAAATTTTTGATGTTCGATCTCAACCCTTGTGACTTTGATTCCTGACATCAATTGCAACTTTAATGCACCAGAATATGAGACATACAGTCTCAAAATTGGAGAGTCGAAATATCATAAGGTAGATAAGAGAAAATGTCGAAAAGGTCTATATCTTTGAAAATTCTCCATCCCTGCGCACAGTCGTACCGAATTTCGGAGACAGGATGATCTAGCTTATACTTTTGACTAAGTTGTACTTTTGGTGTCCGAGAATTTGTGAAATACTGTCTCCAAATCGAGAAATGCATTACAACGATAGAAAATAAAATATTGAAAACGTCTGTTTCTTTGGTAGTATTTCATGTTCAGTCTGGCCGATTCTGGGTTACAAAATACCAAAACTTATATATAGAAGTGACTTTATTGGTAGTTTATGTACACTACCATGTGTAAGATTCAGTCCGAATTGAACAATGTCGATGACAATAGCAGAGATAATATTGATATCTGTTTTCGTGGAACTCATTCAGGTTCGGTCTAACCGATTTTGGGGTACAGATTTTTGTAGCTTATATAAATGCCTCGAGCTGCAACTGCTGTGTACGGGAATTTGTGAGATGAAGTCTTTCCATTTGGGAAATGTAGATAAGATATAAGAGAAAATTTCACAATTTATTTGATACTTCTTGATAGCTGCAACGCAGTCTCACCGGATTTCGAACACAGGTCGGTCCTACTAGGATCGATGACTTAAGTTGCACCTTCTGTGTACATGAATCTCAGAAACGCAGTATCCGAAGTGAAAAATATAGGTAACGATAAAAGAGAAACATCGAAGGGTTGTATTTCTTTAGTAATCCATTATAACTTTAACAGAGAAATACTCAGTTTCACCGGCTTTTGGTACTCAGAATTTTGATGTATAAGCCTGGCTGCAATGTATGTGTACCATAGTCTACGAAATACTCACCGAAATGAAGGATGAAAACATCTTTTTCTCGACAACGTTAGTTAGTATGCAGTCTTATTGAGGTGTGGTGCAACTATATGAGTAATTCTAGTTGCCGCTTTTGTAAGCCACATTCGGTGAGACACGGTCTTTGAATTATGAAATATAGATTATACTAGTTCCAAATATGTTTCTTTTGTGATCCTTCATTGCTGTTATACCTAGTCTAACCGATCTTTGCGTATCAGAATGTTGTAACTCGATATACTTAGTTGTACCTCCTGCATAGCAGAAGCTGTGAGAAACCGTCTTCAGCCAGAGGGAAACGTGTTAGAGCTTCTTGGTACCATACTCTGGAGAACGATAGTCGCACCAGCTTATGATATGACTGATTGTTTGTATCTTGGATAGTTGCTACTATATGCACGATCTTAAATGCCGCTTCAAGGTACCACATTCTGTGAGTTTAGATAACGATAGAAGAGGAAATACCGAAGAGGTACGTTTGTTGTAATATTTTATCGTTGTTGTACAAACATGAATGTTTAGGCTCGCCAATTTTGGTAAAGGCGTTATATCTAGATGTATGACTTCAGTTGCAACCTATGTAGTACATCAACATTTTAGTGACACAGTCTTCGAACTGAGAATCGTCAACATCGTTAGAAGATAAGTTTCACCGACCTTAGGATGGACACAGGAGGCAATTAGATGTACAAGTCAGTCCACTGTGAACATTTGTGTGAGAAACGAACTGAAAATGGAAACAGCGTTAGAATCGAACGGACTGTTTGTTCTAAATTTGTTCGTCTGAAACACGTAATAATAATAAATAATCCTTTTTGTTTTTGGCCTCTTTCTCTGCTGCCACTTGGTCGATTTTCAAAAACTAGCCTTTGCGTCCTTGGCAGTGTAGGAACATTGTCTTAAAATCTCATTAAAAACCGAGCGGTACTTCTCAAGTTATAGGCGGTTATAAGATT